CTTGAACATTGTGTTTTCTAACGCTACCCCTCGGTAGTTGTTCGGGTCTTCTGGGTCTCCTTTTCCCTTGTACAGTACTTTCATCAGGGATTTTCTCCAAATTTGTGGTATGGATCCAGTTTCGAGGCATCTGTTGTATAGTGCCGTTAGTGGTTTTGATATAATGTCCTTTGTTTCTTTTATATGTTCATAATATATCCCATCTGGTCCTGCGGCTTTCTTGTTTTGTGTTCTTTTTATAGCTTTTAATACTTCTGCATGTGAGATTGGTTGACATGCCCTGACGTCGTCTGTTCGGGGGCTGCTGGTGGGTGTATTTTGGCTAAGTATCATGGTGAAATGCTGTTCCCATATCTTTATATTTACTTCTTGTGGCATTTGTTTCTTGGTTGTTCTGGTTGCCACGAACGGGTCTTTCTCGGCTTCTTCGGCTATCATTTGCCCTTCATTTTCGATGTGTTCCGTTTTCTTACTTTTTATCAGTGCTTTGTATCTTTTTCTTTTTTCTGCATATTCTTTTAGTTCGTTGCTATTTTAGGTTATATGTCCACGTAATATTTCACTGATGAAAACAGCATAACTCTGTTCGAGTGGAGGAATATTATGGTTAACATAAAATCAATACAAAGTCCGTCAAGTGTAACAATGTTTTTAGGTCACTTCTTTCTCACTCTTGCCTTACATGTTTCGGTTTTAGTAAAACCATCTTCAGAGGCACATGGTACTAACAAGAAAACACTGGCGTTGCCCAACTATACACAGTATATATGCTGTGTGGGCACTGCTACAAATGTCGATGTGTAAAAGCACAACACTAGCTTGGAGTACTGAATGCACGTACAGAATGCACGTTCAACCTTCGCATTCCATCCGAAGTTGCCCTCGCGTTAAAACATCACTATTAAAATATTTAAAAAATAATTTAAAAGTTTAAGACTTTTGACGTAAAATATAAAAATGTTAGGCTGCTTCTTAATTTATCCCGATGTTGGGAGATGTCTTGAGGTTGTATTGGCTGCAAAGACATTGTATTACATTAGGTTTTATATATTTATATATATTGAATTTATTTTGTTTAGTGTTGTATTTGATCCTTGCTTACCTTGTAGTTGGATTACTCCTGTGCGTTGTGTGTTGTGTACTGCGGTGAGAGTTCTACGCCAGTGTTATTTAAAGCCTTGTGTGTTATGACGTGGTCGGGGGTGTGTTTATACAAGTAGTGATAAGGTCGAACATGCTGTTCTGGTTATTGATCTCCTTTGCCTGTTTCTGCTCATCTATTAATTTGTTATCCTTGTAGTGGCGGTAAATTTGGTATTCTTCCTTAATATTCATTAATTTGCCTTTCTTTGCTACTTCAATCAATTCCATGATTTGCGAAATTGGGCCATATTGATGTTGTCTATTTAAAATATGTTGAGCATAGGCGGAGTCATTTTTATTGAATCTTATACTTCTTATATGTTCACCTTATATGTGTACTCTCACCGCAGTACACAACACACAACGCACAGGAATAATCCAACTACAAGGTAAGCAAGGATCAAATACAACACTAAACAAAATAAATTCAATATATATAAATATATAAAACCTAATGTAATACAATGTCTTTGCAGCCAATACAACCTCAAGACATCTCCCAACATCGGGATAAATTAAGAAGCAGCCTAACATTTTTATATTTTACTTCAAAAGTCTTAAACTTTTAAATATTTTTTAAATATTTTAATAGTGATGTTTTAACGCGAGGGCAACTTCGGATGGAATGCGAAGGTTGAACGTGCATTCTGTACGTGCATTCAGTACTCCAAGCTAGTGTTGTGCTTTTACACATCGACATTTGTAGCAGTGCCCACACAGCATATATACTGTGTACAGTTAAACAACGCCAGTGTTTTCTTGTTAGTACCATGTGCCTCTGAAGATGGTTTTACTAAAACCGAAACATGTAAGGCAAGAGTGAGAAAGAAGTGACCTAAAAAACATTGTTACACTTGACGGACTTTGTATTGATTTTATGTATAATAGTGTAACGGACCAAAATGAAACAATTCAAAATAGAATATTATGGTGATTTCTTTGTTTGTCAATTTTTATAGTTCTATCACTATGGGGCTTAAAAAATACTTGACTGCCCTTGTAAATACTACAAAACTTTGTGAATTTAAACGTGCTGATAGGAGTAATGTTATACCACACAAACCAGAAACATCAGATTTCACCTGTCATGAACATTAATGTTCAGCTTCATGCTCTCGCAGCCTTTGTCCATGGATATTCGTATAGAGACTGGGTAGGCGGCACAGGCATTGCGAATATTTTCCAGATACTGTGGTGGTTCTTAAACTCGGGTGTCCAGACGAAACCAGGGTTGGCATTAACAGCAACAATGGCCTGTCACTGGAGCTCCAGATTTCGTACTTTAATTATTGATGCTTAAAGATAAAGTTGTCCCTGTGCTTAACTAATTGAGCACTACACCATTAAGATTTATGAGGGAGTGGATGTATAGATCCACATTTTCTTGACCTCAGCACTGGTTGGAGGTGAGTGGTCAGCTTCACATCCCGGAATTATTGATGCTTTCTCAACTTAATTGTGCTGATTATTGCTAACTTTAATGTACTATTTCCTAGAGTCAAATGAGGAACCCTTCAGCTAGGATACTTGGCCTTTGAGGCAAAAAGAGAGTCCTCAGTCACCAAAATTCTGACCAAGAACGATTACTCAGATGCCACATGGTTCAGTAGCAGGGTTTATTGCGTACATTATTCAGCAAGGAAATTAAAATAAAATTTCATATAGGGAACATCAGTCAGAACCAAGACTGTCAAAATTTACCCACAGAGTGAAGATACATAGATAGGAGGATAATATCAAAATTGACCTACAAACTGGATTCTGCTGGCTGTAAAAAGGGGGGGTGGGAGGTTCTTACATTTCACTGTGTAAGGTCACAGTGATTTGTATGAGTTTCATATCTTCCTTTGTTTTATTGCACTACAAAAATGTGCAGTCCCTTCACAGAGCTTTGTGCCCAACCACTGTGACTCAGTCAGTATAGATACTAGGCTACAGGCTACATAACTTTAGAAGTGGGATTCATTTCCTGGTAGAGGCACAGATTTTTCTCTTAACCGTCACCTCCAGATCAGCTATGAGGTCCACTCAGACTCCTGTCCTTTGGGTACTGGGGTGCTCTCTTCCCTGAAATAAAGCAAATGGTGTATGGAGCTGGCTGCTGTTATCCATCTATTAAGTAAAGTAAAGCTATGCCTGTAACAGGCCTTGGAGGCCCATAGGGTTGTGAGATGTTGAGGTTCCCACATTTTCTAGACAATTGGCTCATAGATGGCAGTTATCCATCCAGTACCAGGGTTAAGCATGGTACTACGCCTCCACTCTCATATAGCATCATAGTATGGTGCTTAATTAACTTCATGTTTACCCTGTATCCCAGTGCCACAGCACAGTGTACAAGGTCTCAACTAATCTGAACTCCCGGGGTGTTCAATTCCAGACTGAAGGCGTCTGGTGACACTAATGAAGCAGAGCTTCACAGTGATGGAACAGAGAGCAGTGCAGTCATAGCCCTCAGGAACCTGGGTGAGTTGCCCTAGCACAAGACACCATATCAACTGGTTCTATTGAATTAGACTTGACATGAGCATAGTTAAAGAAAGCATGAGCAATACTAGTTACATCATTCTAGAGAGAGGAAAGATGTTTAGACACCCAGAACAACTTCTCAACTCTTCACCTAGATAAGCTTTAAAGATACAATCCAGAGCCCCATGCCCAAAACAAGAAGGAGAAGAAGCTGTAAGACACAAGATAGGTGTCTGATTTATGTAACTTCTTTTCAGAATATCATTATATGAACATAAAAGTCATGAGTTTTATCGCTTTTATTATGCACTTACAGGTCACCATAGCAACACATGGTCAAGCATTAACATGATGCCTGAAAGTAAGTTATATAATAGGTCACGTTGAGTATGAACAAAATTTTGATGTGGATATGTGCAGTATAGTGTACTATATAACAGAGACAATTTGTGATATATTATTTGGATAGGAGATGGCTTTAATCATTGGTCTTGACTTACCATTCAGTAGCACAGAATTGGAAAGGAAGAAGGGAGAAGATGGGGCAGTTAATGGTATAAAAGCTTGCATAACAAATGATGAGACTTGAGGCTGAATTCTCAGTAAATGCCACACTGCTTTTGCTCTGAAATCAGTGTTTAATGAGATACACCAGTAGGCTAAGTCAGTTGAAGTTACACATGATAATGTAAGTGTTCTGTATAAAATCTGTCAAATGTTTCATGTGTGTCCCTAGTAAAGTAGCCCTTGAAATGAAACAGACTAACTGGGCACAGCATAATGCAGTGTAAATGTGCCATACTGAGTCTGAACAAAATCAGTTCAGTTGCTTTATTAACAGAAAAACATAGCAAATTTGATGTGTGGAGTTTGGTATTTTTCAGAACACAGTCATGATTGCGCAAGGTTTATTACATGTTCTGTCTGAACTAGATGAGAAAATTAAATTCATGCAAAAATGAGCATATAATTCCTGCACAGAACAACACTTTACCTGTTGATTTCTTTTATTTTGTTTTATTTTATTATTATTATTGGTTTATGGGTTATTTGACAGTGCTATCAGAAGCACAAATAATATAGTGTCAGTGTTAAGATTGTCAGTGAATAATGGATTGGATAGGATGTGGAAGGCAGTTGTCATGGCTTTCTTTGAGGTACTGCCCCAGAATCTGTGTAAATCATGATAAATCTCTAGAGTCGTAGCTGAGATTCAGTACTGCTGGGCAACAGCAGTTTATCGTTACAGTGTTGCTGCTGCAAGGCTTGTAGTGAACCTGTGCATGTTACAGCCAGCAGCTTCCAGATGGAGATGTCTCAACAGATTGAGAAGTTCACAAGCGAGATGGAAACCATAGTCATGCAAGAGAAGGGGAGCAGTCCTCAGAGCATTGCCTGTGGGTGAGCAGACTGTTCATACACCATTGGCTTATCTGTCACCTCTGTTACTTCACAACTGGGTAACACAGCATAACTTGAAGTTCCACACCATTAATACCAAAGACAGTCTCACAGTGGACAAAAAGCAGGGGCTTTCAAGTCTGTATTCATAGTGATCAGAAAATGTAAACTAGCCCATGTGTCTTGCGCATACCTCGATGGGCTCATCTATTCCAGTCATTAGAGCTCGTGGGCCTGCAGAGGTGAAGGTTTGGAGGCCTACCCAGTGAAGGTCCCATTTATGGGACTGAACACTTGTATTGATCATCAGTTATAGAGGTAAAATTCCATACTTTCTAGAATCAGTGTCAGTTGAAGATAAGTTGGGGGGGGGGCAGTGTGAAGCAAATGATGCCATTGACTGAACCATCGCAGAGAGAGAAATTCTTGTGGAGATTAATATTAAGCCTGTGTTCTTCCGGGATGTGGTTCCATGTAGTTTGATAGATGTTATCAGTTTTCAGATGAACTTACTGCTTCCATCCTTCAAAGCGTTGATAACTGTCGAGATGACTACATGGTTTCACATTTCAGAAGGTCACACTCTGAGTCAGCCTTGTTGAGGTGATGTGGTGTTTTGTTGGCAGTCCTGTGACACAACTTGACATGCGGCTGAGGAAAGCAGAGCTCATTATTCAGATCCAGTCCATGGTGGCATTCCTTACAAATAAGCTGCATGAGCACCAGCTGATGGAGAAGATTGACTCTGAACCCTCCATACAATAACTGCTTTTTAACCACATGCAGAGGCCATTTCTTATGTTGATGACTTTGACTTTTGTTTGCTTTCATATAGGATAGTGTTCTTGGCTGTATGTTATTCACCAATTGCTTTTGCTTCCATAAAGTAAACACATCCAGTAATAGGTATGATGACTATCTGTCTCCAAGTTTCATCCCTGAAAGCACTCTGTGCATTGTCACTCTCTTTGCAGCTGTTTATTTGGCTCCCCCTGCAACTTGACAAGGGAAAGAAGAAATTTGTAATTATTCATAATAAATACATTGTAGATATTTTCTGACTTACCCTTGTGCTAATAATTTTACAGCTATGCCTGAAGTCTTCCAAAAGATCTTTTCCCTTCAGTTTTGATGATGACTGGACCAACTTGTTCCAACTTGTTTATTCCCTTCCAGCAACTCTCATTTGATTCAGCATTATGAAATGACCCAATACATTAACATGTACCCAGATTAATGACTACAGTCAGGTCAGAGAACACAATGAACACAGATTGTGTCCCTTGCCATTGCCTAGCAGCTGTCACTTACTATCTGATTTTCTCACATATACAGGCTGTATCCCTCTTTGTTCTGTTATCAGGGTTGGTGTAGGGGAGGTGTGCAGCACAGGTAGACTGGGGAAGCAGGTACCCAGCTTGAATCCTTGCCACCTGTCCATTCTTTCCCTGACCTGAGTGTAGTAATGTGAGCACTTAGGTCCCTCTTACAATATCTGTACTGTGTGACATCTAAACACATTTATGCAGGGGTTAACATCGTACCAATGGTTGTCAAGTGAAAGGTAATGTTTTGTAAACATATGTGAAAATTGTTTGTTCTCTGTGTGAACTGTATTTGAAATGCACAAGATTTCCAGATTTGGGTCAGCTGGTTATCACTATCAGGCAGTCTGTATTATTGTCCACAGTTTATTTTTTAGTAAAAGGGAAAAGTTATCCTTCAACTACTTAAGCACTACACCATGAGGGTGTATGGGGAGTTGGTATAGAGATCCATATATTCTTGATCTGAGAACTGGGTGGAGGTGAGTGGTCGGCTTCATACCCCAACCACTTTACCTCCACGGTACCCACTGTATAGGAGGCTGGGTGGGCTCTAGAACAGGTCTGGATGATGTAGGGAGGAAGAAAATCTTACCCCTACTGGATCTTGAACTCTGACCCCTTGGGCTCCAGAACAGGTCTGGATGATGTGGGGAGGAAGAAAATCTTACACTACTGGGTCTTGAACTCTGACCCCTTGGCTGTTCTGTCCATAACCAGTTGCCATACTGACTGCACTATCCAGGCTAACAATTTATTTTTAAGTCATAAAAGATTAAAGTATACAAAACAATTTTGAATTGTTCATTTTTGGTCCGTTACACTATCAATCACAAATTGTCAATGAAAAATCCGTCGAGTGTAACAATGTTTTTAGGTCACTTATTTATCTCACTTGCCTTACATGTTTCGGTTCAAGAGAAACCATCATCAGAGGCACGTATTACAAACACTTGAAAACACTGGCGTTGTTTAATGTACACAGTATGTAAGCTGCGTGTACGCTGTTACAGGTGTCGAAGTGTAAAAGCACAACACTTTCTAGTAGCATTGAATGCACGTACAACTCTTGCATTCCATCTGAGAATTGCCCTCAAATTGAGCTGTCAATGTTAAAATATTTAAAAGTTTAAAACATGCAAGAGTTGTACGTGCATTCAATGCTACTAGAAAGTGTTGTGCTTTTACACTTCGACACATGTAACAGCGTACACGCAGCGGCAGTACACAACACACAACGCGTAAGAAACATCCGACCATAAGCCTACATAACCTCAAGTTGACATTTCCCATCATCGGGACGAATCAACAAGAAGGAGCCGAACATTTTACTTTAAATGTTTTAAACTTTTAAATATTTTAACATTGACGGCTCAATTTGAGGGCAATTCTCAGATGGAATGCAAGAGTTGTACGTGCATTCAATGCTACTAGAAAGTGTTGTGCTTTTACACTTCGACACCTGTAACAGCGTACACGCAGCTTACATACTGTGTACATTAAACAACGCCAGTGTTTTCAAGTGTTTGTAATACGTGCCTCTGATGATAGTTTCTCTTGAACCGAAACATGTAAGGCAAGTGAGATAAATAAGTGACCTAAAAACATTATTACACTCGACGGATTTTTCATTGACAATTTGTTATACAAAACAATGTTAAAATAAGTTGTATGGATGTGAAATATGATCTTAGAGTGAACATAATAAAGTTGTTAAATACCTGGGAGTGGAAACCCCTGAGGAAATGTCCACGGACCAGTAAGTGAGTAAAGGGTTTGCAGAATCAGAACTAAGCAAGAACTGATGGAATTTTGTAAAACCCCTGATTTGGTAGTTGTTGAAATTAAGCCAAAAGGTAGAAGAAATATGGAGAAGGCTCAGATTGAGATCGGTGGAAGATGCAGAGAATGATGTACAAGAGCCGAAAGTGAAAAGTTGGCAACAAAAGGCAAACAATAGAGAAGAATAGGCGACTGTTATATTAGGAGTTAAAGGTTCAAGGAAGGCTGTACAGCCAATATTGTTAAATCTAATATATAGTTACAACAGTTTTTCAGAAACATAGTGCCTCCATTTTTAGGTTAGAACCATGAGCATATCCCAGAAGGCGGTAATCTGTGTTTACATGTTACCCAGCAGATCTTTAATATTCTAATGACGGTAGTGTCACAATATAATATGAAATTTTTGCCTGAACTGTATTTGAATGACCACTGTTTTCTTATGCTAATTTTGGAATGAGTAAAAGGAGCAGAATCGTAAGATTTTCTCCTGAAAAAGCTGAAACATATAAAATAGCGTTAAATACGGCTAAATATGTGCAGCATTGTGTCAGGCAGCTCATCTTTTTACCGATTAAGCTCTCGGCAGTGACTGGCAATTTGGCAACGCTAGCCTGAACGCTGGAGACAGATGGTAGCATAATGCATTCGTGACGTCACGGTGGCAATGTTGCAAGGCGATAACATACAGTTGTACGTTGCTGTTAGTATTGGATCATGGAGATCGCAGGTGGTGAAGTGGTTTTTACTTCATGTTGAATGGGCATTGGTCGAAGATGTTCAGGGTTTGGTGTTTTCTGTTTTGTAGGCCATAATTATCTTTCATACAAATAGCGGCCTGTTCCTGGTCACTTATTTCATTTTAACTAGCATATTATTTGTTTGCCATCGTGTACGAAATTAAATGAGGTAGGATTTTACACCTTTGTCAATCATTCCAAAAGTTAGGTTAACCAGTCTACGAAACATGGAGTGGTGATAATGAATATAGAAAACAATCGATTGAGGACGTTTGAGGGCTGGCCTGCCAATGCAGCAGTGGAGCCCCAGCGAATTGCCAAGGCGGGCTTCTTCTCTACCGGCCGTGGTCTGGAAGTACAGTGCTTCTGCTGTGGAGGAAAGATCTCTGAATGGAACTATGGGGACCAGGTGATGGTGCGGCACAGGGCCCTGGACCCTCAGTGCCCTTTTGTGAAGAATCCCACTCAGTCAGGCAACGTTCCTATGATCCCAGGAGAGACACCTCAGCCTTCCACAAGCAGCGGCGAGTCAGATGGAGAGAGGCCTGCAAGATCAACTGTAGGAAACGCAGGATCATGGGACCAAGGGATGATGTATCGCAGTGAGGCTGCTCGGCTGGAGTCCTTCCGCTCCTGGCCAATTTCTTTCATAGTGGCACCAGAACGACTTGCCAGAGCTGGCTTTTTCTACCTCCAGCAGGGTGACAAGGTTGGTAGCTTGACAGTGACTGCCCTTGTTCAGCAGTTAGTAGCTTTATGTCTAAAAACAAGCCCTCTGCTGGGCTTTATCCTTAGTCAGTTGAATGCTCATCACTTCTCAACCCACATACCAAAGATACATTTTCATTTTATTATCTTCCCATTTACTTGGTTCTGAACTTGTCTCTTCACTTGAAGATTTCTGGTCAAAATTGTGTATGAGTATTTTGTTTTGTCATGCACAGTACATGTTCTGTCCACGTAACACTTCCTAACAAAACTAGGTGCAGAGCAAACATGTGCAATACCCACAGTTGACAATAATTCTGATCGGCTCCATATGAGGTATACTCCTAGCTCCAGCTAATGAAACCATCTCTGCTCTGCAGGTGCAGTGTGCATTCTGCTCAGGTGTGTTGATCAACTGGGAGGCAGGTGATGATCCCAGCAAAGAACATCGGCGCCACTTCCCCTCCTGTCCACTGCACTTTAATATTCCTGTTGGTAACATTCCCCTGGGTGAGTCTACTGATGGGATGCAGCAGTACCAGAGTGCCCACAGGAACATCACTCTCAGGGAACTCCGACCCTTCTCGGGTCCAGAGAGGAATGTTGTGTCAGAGGGCAGACTGACCAAACGGGATGACATGTCTGAGCTGGGCATCCAGACACATCATGGCCCAAGGCACCCCAAATACTCAACAGTAGAATCTCGGTTACGAACCTACACAGACTGGCCGTCCGACACGTGCCAGACACCTCAGCAACTTGCCCAGGCTGGGTTCTACCATGTTGGTAAGACCTAAAGAGTTTTCCTTGAATGCAGCATACTGGTAACCCCACATCTATATTGTGCATATTCTGAAGCATGTGTGTTGCAGGTACAAGTGACCATGTGCGGTGCTTCCATTGTGATGGTGTGCTTCGTCACTGGGACCCCGAGGATGACCCCTGGACTGAACATGCTAGGTGGTTTTCACGATGTGGGTATGTGCGGCTTGTTAAAGGGGATGAGTTTGTGCAGCAAGCCATTGTCCAACGCCCCCCAGTACTTCCTGCATGTGTGAGTACGAACAGTTGCATTGTCCAGGGTGTAATGCAAGTTTATGATCTGTCTGCTGTACTGACATCGTTACGTGACACTAGAGCAGGGACCGCAAGGCAGTCTTGTGAAGATAGTATGAGCTGAGACAAGAACAGATTATAATAATGAATGTGACCTTCTGGAATGTGATGCCACATAATCACTCAGGTGGACATGAATGTTGGTGTCCACCTAGAACACTGTGTGATGTTATAATCCAGAAGACAATGTAAATTCTTTCAGAGCTAAATTGTACTGGCAGCAGATGTCATCTCTGGTTTTAAACCCAGCCATCTCACACCACCAGAGTTAGTCCTCATGTTTTCAAGTAGCTGCTATCCAGGAGGTTGTCCCCTCAAAATTGTGTGTCCATTTCTTGTCTTCCCTGTCTGAACTGCTTGTAGGATCCATCATAAGCTTCTGGATGGCACCACTGTAGGAACACTTAATTACAGAGTTCTTCATTATATGTTCTTCGCTTCATCACCCTTGAGCTCAAATTTTATTTCAAAATGTTTGTGATTTATGTTATTTCTATCCAAGCTTCATAACTCGTACCCTTGACCAAGTATAATTAGAATGATCAAGTCAAGAAGGATAAAATGGGCAGGGCATGTAACAGGAATGGGAGAGGAGTGCATATAGGATATTGGTAAGAAAGCCAAAAGGAAAGAGACCACTAGAAAATCAAGATGTTGGTGGATGAACATTATTAAAATGGATCTCAGAGGGATAGGATGGGGTGGTATGGGCTGGATTGATGTGGCTCAGAATAGGGATCAGTTTAGGGCTCTTGTGAACACAGTAGTGAAACTTTGGATTGCATAAGATTTTGGGAAGCTCTTGAGTACCTGCACAGCTGGCGGCTTCTCAAGAAGGGCTCAGCTCCATGAAGTTAGTTATTTATACCCCATTGAGGGTGTATTATTCTTGGTTGGTGGTGTTTTTATGTCATTGTTAGAAAGTGACTAGGTTCTATTTTCAACATACTTCTGGTATTCATATATGGGAGGGGGGGTTTGAAAAGTACTTACACAGGAATTTTCTTCTGTAAGGTTGCTTACGTAAAGTACGACATACACAGGTTCTTACAGTACATGGGCTATATTTTACTGCTCTAGAAAACAGATGGTAATGTGTAAGATTTGAGGTTTTCACGGCGGCGATTACGAAGAAAGCAGTCTTCTGGGATGTGGCACCATGTAGATGTGGTGTTAACCGACGTATCAGAGGAATGTATCGCCCCAATCTTCAGGGTAGAAAGAAAAATAAGAAATCCACAAGCGAAGAGACTGTGAGAACCGGTACAAATGTTTGTTCACTGTTTTAGAAAGTAGCTGCAATGATACATTTATCTTAAGACAGTGGAATCTGCAATAATGTGGTGGTCTGTGCAGGAAGAAAGGGATGATAAGACAACGGCTGTGGTGGAATGTCCCCACGTTCGTGATGTCACAGAGGAAGAGCTCCAAGGTCTGATGCAGACAGCTGCAGCATCTGTAAGTACAACATTGTAGTGGCATGATGCTGCATCCCATTTTCATCTTACAAATAACAGAAAACAACACTCAGAAGCGCTGGGTTTCTCAACATTGTCTGTCATACTGTATTCAAAAATATAGACAACACAGCATTTCAGAAACTGGATCTGTTTCCGGCCTCAGAAGAAGGGGGAGACACCTACTCTGTTGGGTCCCTTAGAAACAGCTAACCTCAATCTCTGGACAATGGACAAAGTCCAAAAACCCAGTAAGTACAAGTGTTATACACCACCATCAGAACACTTTAGAATCTGCCAATAAGAAGAAAAGTTGTAAGATTTACAAAAACAGGTGTAAGATTTAAAGTTGCATACCACAGGGATGACTGTGTTTCTTAAATCTGGACAGTGTGAAATAGCAGTTCGTAATAGGAATACTAATGTGTTCCCACCTGTATTTCACATCTAGCTTTCTTCCTTCCTTGATGGTTACTAACCAGAAGTCACTGCATTCCCCCCCCATGTATGCAAAATGTTTGTCCCTCCTCAGCGGTCACTATAAAAATGTTTAATCAAATGTACAATTCGAAACATTTTCTGTATTTCTCCATCCGCATGTTTACCTTCAGATCAAGAGACTTGTTAAACACTCTGTGCTCTTTGCAAACAAGCTAAGCATTCATCTCCACATTTGGGTAGACAGTTTCTTTGTGTATTTATTGCTTCCTATAGTTTGATAAGAGCTAAAGGATCCTGACGATGGAGAATAGATATTAAAACTAAAATTCTGGACTGTATCCATCGTCCCAGTCAGTTGAATCACGACGTTTCGGAAGCTGGTTCTGCTACCGTCCTCAGGTAAGTAAAATGGAGGTAAAAAAAGGGGGGAAAAAATGGGGGAAAAAATTAAAAGGTAAGGAGGGTTCTTATGTATCCTATACAGTTGGGTCCCTTAGATCAAGCTAATCTCAATCACTGGACAAACTGGCAGGGGACGAAATCAAGGGTGATCAATTCATAGTGGGAAGTTGTCAATGGGAGATAAAAAGACGAATCAAGATAAAAAATTATTGAAAGACCCAAATCGTCTGGGACAAGGAGCAAAGAAAGAATTGAAATATTCTACAGGAATATAGAGTGAAGGAGAAAAGGAAAA